TCCTATTTTTTGCAGACTTATCCAGAGTCTTGACAAACTCTTTAAATTTTCAGAAAATCTATGAAAGCAAGGAGGTACATGTATAAGTTCGTTGTCTTTCCGAACAAACCGCCATTTCGTCAATTTCACTGCCATCTCACGCCAGTATACGTGGTAGTATGATGATGGAGTTACATCACACCTACCATCTTTCGGCTTGTCACGCCTACTTGGCCCATTTACTGAGTCAAACAGGGTATCAACTGTCATTAGGAGCTCAGCTGTGTTCATAGCTTCACTAAGAAGCCTTCCATCGGAAAGGGTATGAAAGGTTTTCATCCCCTTGAAATTTTGCTCACTAAATATTTGAGCAGCTAAATGCACATGCATTTTGTTGCGTCCAACAGGAGCCAAGTGAGCATACTTCAATCTTGAAATCTTGCAAATTCCCTCATCCAACTTGAAAAACTCAATTATATGCCGCCATTTTGCCAGCTTGTTCTCTTCAAAATATAAATTACTAGGAAGCAAATTATTCCTTAAATTTTTCAAGAGGCGAGGGAAGTCCCACAGATGCACAATCAGTTTGCCATCTACCTGATATACATTGTCAAACTCTCCTTGATCACATTTTTCTCGCAATGCTGCAATAGCCCCTCTATTGGTAGAGCCCTGATCTGACACACTGGCCACAACAGTGATACCAATAGAAGGTAGTGCTCTGCATACATCTTCCAGTAGCAAGGCCAGCATGTCAGAAGGACAGGTGGCATGTACAGGGTAATGAGCAATGGGCAAGTCTGTATCAGTGTTTAGTAGTTTCACTTTAAATACTAGAACATGATCAGCTTTCTTGTGTGTTCTGCCCCTTGCTCCAAAATCTTCAAATCCATTGACTAAGTCAAGGAGATTACTGAAGGTAAGGTTCTCTTCTGCAAAAACCTCATCAAATGCAACCACTGCCACCTTATCCTTATCTAAACTATTAAATGTTTTCTTTTCTAGGATCTTCAGAAAAACTTGTGAGATTTCAGGCTCTATGTGGATGCTATCCAAAACATTTTTTAGTGTTTTCTCACATGGCAGAGTGAAGTGTTGGCGCAAATATCGATAAGTTTTAGGACTTCTTTTGTAGATGGACAGGCTAAAACATTTTTCCCTCAATAGCCATTGCCTTGCATTCACATGTCTAGAAAAATTGCGACGCTCCCACTCCATTAAATCCCTTGCTGCCTGAGAAACTTGAATGCCAAGCAGGGCAGATTCCTCCATCCCTTTTTGGTTTTTCAGTCTAATTGATAACACTTTGGACTGTTTTGCTGTGTAGACCAGTCTTTTTCTAATTTTCTATGAGTCCTTATGTTTCCCATGACACAAGTCAAGCAGCCTTTGTTTTTTGGGGGTGAGATCTTTTTTGCTGTGCAGTCCAGCCTCCCTTCTCAAGCTGGCTTTTGTAACTCTTTGTTTTCGTCGTGGTGGAGTTTCTGGGAAAATGGACATGGTAATTTTATCTTTTGTGATGAAAAATCTGAACTCTGATTTTTGAATACAGAGTGATAATAATTATAATAATAACAATAATAATTGAATAAGGGCAACCAGGATTAAAGTTTTGAATATTTTTCTAGACTTTTAAATAAAATATTGATTGTTAAAATTTATCAGGTTCTGTGCAATAACTCAGAAACATTTTCAGCTACAGGCTTGGAATATAATTTGAGTAGGTTTTTAATCAGGCACATAAGACTCCGTAAAGCATTTTTTTGTTTCACTGTAAGTTGTCTCTGAGATTGCCAATACCATCCTGGGTGCCCTTGATTGTCACACAAGCACTTACTGGGAATGTCTGCCCCCTGCACAAAACCATGGTCTTCCATGAGTACTGCTTGTGCTTGTGCTGATTCCAATTCTAGTGAGGGGAATTCCAATTCAAATCTTTTGCCTGCAATAATTAGTCAGGTGTCAGGTATATTAGAAGAATGTCTTCTGATTTTCTGAAGAATCTGTGTACTTGTGTACTTACTAGGACTAGTTGCTAGTGGATGTTCTGCACGGCGTTTAAGAGGTGAAGAAGTGATATTCAAGGGACCTATAATAAGCGGTATTTGTTACTAAATGTGTTGAGGAAACCTTAAATATATTGTTTTGATCATGCTTCAATTTGAGTGATGATTAATTACACTCTTGCTCAACTTCATGAATTACAGCTGGCCCAGACAAGGTGACAGGGAATCTCATCATAATCTCATCTGAGAGTTTCTCTGGTAGATTGAGAGTTGGGCATTGACATCTTCGCAGAGTTTTTTTGTATTTGTTAAAATATTGATTGTCTGCAAAGTGCAGAGCACAAATACGTCTCCCAAGGAGCCGCTCAGAGGGAACCTCAAGGTTCCTGATGTCACCTGACAACTGTGCCCAGATCTTGCGGCTGTACAATTTTTAAACAAATACACACCAAATGAGGACACTGTAAAATTACACTCCACTTGACATGGTTAATGAACCATCAAATTTACCATTCCATATCTTCAGGGAATTTATGCATTACTGTATGATCGGGACTCATTAAATCTGACATCGTTGGGCAGCCCCATACCCAGCAGGATATGGGAGCCATTTTATTTTGAATAAACTTTTAATATACGAAGTACACTTGCCCAGTTGACACGTGTGAAGGTTACATATGTCGTCTGCTAAGTGTCAAAACCCTTGAATACGACCGCGAAACCGCTCTCTCCCATACCACCCAGAAAAAGTTTATTCAAATTTTATGTTGGACGCTCGTGTAAAATAGGCTTTCGGGAAGGTTGCGTGATTAATTGAGAAAAGGTTTGATTATATAGTATTTTTATTAAGCTCTCTATTTATTACACAAAGCATCCTCAGTCGGGGTGATGTTTTGGGGTGCGTGTTTTGCCATCTTGCGGTAATGTACTCCATTTTGAACTCCGTGAGCAGCGCGCCTCCCCGAAGGGACCGGAACCAGTCTATGCTGTTACCACGGGTTGGGGACCCGTTCGAGTGGCCGAGCCCCGCCTGCCGGTCACCTGAGAGCGTGGGGTGGCGTGGCGCGTAGGCAAAGTCGGTCCAGCGCCACGCAACGCCACGCCTGGCCAGCAGACGGGACCCGTTGATACGATCGAGTCTCGGCGAGGGCGAGTGACAGAGCGAGCGGGACGGAAACGAGCTGGGTTTGGGAGCCGATGCCGACCTCTGGTCCTGTCCCTTCGCCGGAGGTGGGTCCGTTCTTGATGTCCATGATGAAGTGGACAGATACGACCATTTAGTATCTTGATATCGGTAGTCTGATTTTTCAATGGGCAACAATGCCGGAAAAAAACTCTTTTTTTAAACTTTATTTTTGTTTACTTTTAGTGTAACAATTTTAGTTTTTTTCGAAAAGTGCATATAAAATTGGGGGGAAGGCGATGTTCTTCTGTTTACCTTTGCATTCCCTGTTATTGTCAGAAGCGGGAAAATTAGGTTTTCTTTGAATTCGGTCCGTGACATGATATTTTTTCTTACAGCTACGACCTGCGATGACGGTGTGCCTGGTTGACTTTTGAAAAGTCGGAGAAAACTCAGAAGTTTCTTTCAATGACTCTTTTTGTCTTTCAATAATTTAGGTAGTTTTGTTTTGTAATAGTACGAATTTATGTGAATATGTGCTAATGATTGTTTATTTGGGATACTTTATCCAGCGAAGTGCAGGGTGGTTTAAGTTTTAGGCGTCGAGTGGTGCCTTGAGAGCCTAATCATGGAAACTCGATGTGTGAGCGAATACCGACCCAATTAGGGTAACTAATGTAAGTGAATCACTGGTCAATACTTCTTCCTTCTTTGCTGAATACTTGTCCAACATAGGGTAAGGGGCCCAGTAGTCGACAGTTTAAGAGCAGGTCTTTTCAAAATTGCCTACCACGGAGCGTGTGTGTACGGTAGCGCCGGGGAAAAAATTGGGGCGTGTAGGGGAAGGATTAAACTTAATTCTCCATAGGTCGAAAATAAAAATAAATTTATTTTTGTACACAAAAAATTAGAACAAAAAACAATCTGCATTGGCCCAGTAGTCGACACCTTTGGCCCAGTAGTCGACACTGCCTGGCCCAGTAGTCGACACCCTGTGATTTTATCTAGATTGCCGTGTTTTACGGGTCCCTGGAGCCTGGCTGGACTTCCTCTGCCGCTCGGCCGCCTTCTCGGCCATCACGGCGTCCTTCTCGGCCCGCTTCGCGAGGCGCAGTTCGGCCCTTTCGGCCTTTAGACGAGCTTCTTCGTTCCGTTTCCGATCTTTTTCATCTTGCAGATCTTTCCACCGTTTTGATGTGATGACGTAGGGCATCTTTTCTGTCTGCCGCTTGCCTTTCCTTTTGGGGCTGTGGGGCCACTGCAGGACACCCTGCAGGTCCGAACTGCCGGAGGATGACGAGTGGGGACGTGGTTCTGGATCGTCCGGATCTTCTGTTTCCGAGATTGGCTCTTCACGCACAATACTTATATCTACATCAAGGGTCACGTCGTCTGGAAGCGAGCTGGGTCCATCTTCTTTCCGAGTAACGTCCTGCGTAGACTCTTCGGGGTTCGACAGCGCACGGTAAAGGCGACACAATGCAAGTTCTGCAGGACATTCAGTAGTGTCATCTGCGTTTTTTTCGACAACTGTCATCGCCTCTTCTCCCACAATCTGACGGAAGTCTTCCAAAGTGATTGCCTTTTTCGGGGTTGCACTGCTGACGTCTGTCGCGTTGGTTTGCCGCTGATGACCCTTCCACTTAGAATAGTTGACTGCATCCGGGTTGAATGGGAAAAGTCCTGTAGCCCTAAAACCGTTCTGTATGGTGACAGTCATGTCTTTTTGAAGAGCAGTTTTCAGAATAGGACCAATGTGCAGCTTAGTTAGAGCCTCCGTGGGGTGGGCACGCCGCCATGCTAGGAGGGATTTGTTCCAGGATGCCTTGAGTGGCCTAAATGCTGCAACATCACAAGGCTGCAGAATGTGGGTGGAATTGGGATACAGGGCTATCAAAACAATTTCTAATCTCTTACACAATTAACTGGTTTCACGGGTCAAATGAGTTTTGTGACCATCTACAAATAGCACTACAGGTCTCTTAACGTTATTTTTTTCAAGAAAATTATTGAAAATGTTTCCTATCCATTCAAAGAACGTTTCAGCTGTCATCCAGCCAGAGTCACTTCTACCTATACCCCACGTCTCAAGGACACTTCTCACCAAATCGGCGGGCATTCTTTGATAAGGGAAAATCATCATGGGTTCTACCATTTTTCCGGACGCAAGGTAGGCAAACATGACTGTAACAGCAAACTTTGCATCCCCTTGTTCTATTTCCTACACATCTTTTGAACCCTTTTCAGCTAGAACTAGAGACTTCTGAGGGCACAGTTTAAAGTTAGATTCATCAGCATTCCCTACTCTTGTCGGATCATCCAAAGCGTCTGCGGCATTTTCCTCGATGAGAATTTCTCTGACGTCACTAAACCACTTCCGGATATCCTTTTCGGTCACATTTCCACTGGCTCTAGATATGCCTTCAGGTGTACGAAGCGAAACGTCGGGATGTCTTGCCATGAATGACCTGTACCATTTTCTACCTGCCAAATATTTAAGAGAAAGGTTATTAATTATTTCTATTTTTCACAGTGTTTAAAAAACAATTTGTGAACATGACACTGACCTGGAAGGTTATTTTCAAATGGAGTTTTTCTCTCTTCATTTTTATCCAGGAATTCCTTGACACTTAACAACAGATCAATTTTCCTTCTAGGAAAGCCCTTCCTAGCGCAGTCCTTTAGCCATACCACCAGTAGCTGCTCCTGGTGGGCCAGCGGCCAGTCGCCCGGCTGCGGCTGCGGCGGTGCAACCGGTAGTCTGATTTTTCAATGGGCAACAATGCCGG